GGCATCGCTTCTCGGCCTTTTGGCTAAGATCAAGTGTACATCTTTTTCAGATGGACGCTCCGAGAGAAGAGATGGCATTGCCGACCATGATGGTGCGGCTAAAGAACACTGTCAGACTACAAATCCAAGTGGATGCAGATGCAGAGGTGAAAAGAAGATTTGGACGTGAATTTGTGGTGACTGGACTATTAAGAGAAGTCTTTGGAATTTCAGCTTCTTTAGTTTTTTGTCTTCAAGATTTTTCATCTGCTGGATTTATGGATCTAACCTTTTTTCAACTGAGAGATTGTGTTGCGTTTTTTGAGGCTTGGGGAAAGAAGACGGATCATCAGCGTTTGAAGGGCCTCCAGCTGCATCCAGCCTTTGCACAAGACTTTTTGCCCTTGATAATTCACCTCTATAACCCTTTTGTGGAGGACGGAGATGTTTTAACTTTTCTGGCTAGATACTGCGAGTCAGTGAAAGGGGGAGAGCGCCTGAAAGATCGGTTTGGCATCTGGACGGGTAAACGGAGGTACCTGGTTAAACTTCGGGTAGATCCAGCATTGCCAGGGCGACTCGTGCACCCTCCAGGATCATTTTTCATAGGATCAAACAGAGGATTTCTTCACTATCCGGGTCAGCCAGTGTATTGCAGGAGGTGTGGGGCTCAAGGGCACGTAAAAGCAGATTGTGCAGGCCAGCGGTGCCGTTGTTGTGGATCGATGGATCACGTGGCCACAGACTGTCCAGAGCCAAAGACCTGCAGCCTATGTGGGGGAAAGGATCATTTGTACCGGGCATGCCCAAGTAGGCAGAGATCTTATGCCAGCCTCTTTAAAGAAGGACAGGATTTGCAAACGGATTTTGAAAGTCTGCTGACGAATGTGTCAGAGGAAAGAGATGGTCAGAAGGCGGGGCCCTCGGGTGTAAACCCCAGAAAAGATTCGAGGGAGCAAGCTGAGGAAACAAGAGATGGAGATGGGCCAGAACGAAGAGGAGGGGAGGAAGAGGAGCATCAGATGGCGCCTTCACAAGTGTGGTCTGAAATAGACGTGGCAGAGGTACTTTGCGGTATCTATGAGGAGACAGAACAGGAGGTAGCGGAGCCATCAAGCAGTGGGGGCCAACAGCAAGAAGACATGATGAAGGTCGACATGGGTCAAGGCATAAGACGACGGAGGCCTTTCGAGGATGGGACTGGAGAAAGGGAGCGGAAATGTAGCAGAGTCCAGACTCAAGAACGGGGAACCATACGAGACTGGGGGGAAGAAAGAGGTGAGATGGATAGTGAGGTGGAGTGTTCAGAGGACGAAGGGGTAAAGGGGGAAATGGAAAATAAAGGGGTCTTGAGAAAGGTTAAATCTATTTTGAGTGAAAGGGGAAGGAAGAAGAAGGGGGAAGGGGAGAAGGGCAGGGATGGGTTGAAGTATCAGTTGGGAGTGGCAGGGGGAAGGAGAGTGTGGGGAAGGGGAGTATGTGAATTTTGGAATGGTGAATGAAGAGTTCTCCTTTTCGCTAAGAAAATATTATGGTTTGTTTAAGGGTGGCAACGTTAAATGCAAGGGGACTTAAAATGTTACAGAGGAGGACTACAATTTATCTTTCTTTAAAGACATCGCCTTTTGATGTTTGTTTTTTACAAGAATGTCATTTACAAGGAAAAGAAGATGTTTCTGTTTTTTCTGCAGGGTGGGATGTGGGGCCTTCCTGTTGGGGAGTAGGGAATGTTAGAGCGGATGGGGTGGGCATTTTATTTTATTCCTGGGAATTTATAATTGAGTCCGCTAACGTGATGATTCCGGGAAGAATTATAGTGGTGGACGCCAGGTGGAGGGGGGTGGCGTTTCGTTTTGTTAATGTGTACGTACCAAGTAAGTTGGGCGATAGGAAGGGGTTTTTAGATAATCTGGCACCAGTCCTGTATACAAACAGATTGCTAATTATGGGAGGGGATTTCAATATGTCCCTTGATAATGATTCAGGTAACGAATTGGCACTCTTGGCTGCTGGGTTTTCTTTGCAAGACTCCTTTCGGGGAGCAGGAGGTCGAGAGCCTACCTATACATGGCGAAGTAGCAAGCAGGAGGCATCCAGGCTGGATTATTTATTTTTCCCGGTACATGTGAGGGTACATAATTATACACAGCAGCCAATGTGGTGCTCGGATCACTGTTTAGTGGGGGTGTGGGCGGAGGTCGGTGGCATGAAGAGAGGGAGGGGAGTGTGGAGATTGAACACCTCCTTTCTAAAGGACAGAACCTTCTGTGTAGCTCTGTATAATTTGGTGGCTGGGTGGAAAAACCTGCAGAGTCTGTTTGAAACTCATGCCGCGTGGTGGGAAGGTTTTAAAGAACGAGTGGCCTTTTTCTGTCGTAGTTGGGGTAGAGAGAAGGCGAGGTACAGGTGGGCTAAAGTAGGTAGGTGGTCGGAGGAGCTTCAATCGCTATGGGCAGAGGGTGCGTTGGGGACAACGGGTGGGTGGGCTAGGGCCAGGTACCTTCAGGGCGTGATGAAGGATTTTTACTGGAATGAAGCGAAGTCCTTTTTGTTGTGGACAGGTGCACAAAAGCGCCTTTTAGATGAAAGGCCAACAAGGTTTTTTTTTTCCACCGTTCGGGGCCGGCAACAGCGTGGTTTCATAGAGGGTTTAAGGAAGGATGGAGGGGTGGAAACAACTGTAGAGGGAATGTTGGAAGTTGCTGAGGGCTTTTACAGGGAGTTATTTAGTTGTAGAAGTTCTACAGGTTGCTCTGCAGACAAGTACCTGGATGCTTTAGAGAAAACTCTGGAAGAGGAGGAGAGGGAAGCATTAGAATGCCCCTTGACACTGCAGGAAGTAAGCTTTGCAATATCTTCACTCAAAGGGGGCACGGCCCCTGGGTATGACGGCCTTCCAGCAGAGTTTTATAGGACAGTTTTGCCCTGGATAGGTTCGGAGCTAGTTTGTGTGTATCAGGAAAGTATAGAAAGAGGAGAGCTGCCATTGACAATGAGGACGGGCTTGGTTACACTGATACATAAGAAAGGCTATAAGGAAGAGCTAACAAACTGGAGGCCAATAACCTTGTTAACAACTGATTACAAGGTATTGGCCAAGGTGATAACAGAGCGACTTAAGAAGGTGATTGGGGTAGGAGTGCAGCCAGACCAAACTTGCGGAGTGCCTGGTAGGTCAGGTGGCTTAAACCTAGTGTTGGTCAGAGACATTGTGTACTGGGCGGAACAGCGGCAGCTCCCCCTGGCGATTTTGAGTCTGGACCAGGAGAAAGCTTTCGACAGGGTGAGTCATGCTTTTTTAATGGGCATCCTGGTGCACATGGGGTTTGGCCCAGTCTTCAGGTCATGGGTAAAGCTGCTGTATAGCAAGGTTTCAAGCAGGATAGGGATAAATGGATATTATTCAGGGAGGGTGGAGCAGTTGGGAGGGGTTCGACAGGGGTGCCCTTTGTCGCCACTGCTTTATGTTCTGTCTCTAGAGCCCCTGATGGCAGCATTGAGGGCGGCTGATTCGTTGACGGGCATGCATTTACCTGGAGGCAGGGGTACGTGTGCAAAGGTGACTGCATATGCAGATGATATGACATTGTTCCTGACCTCAGATAAGGATTTTGAGGCAGCAAGCAAAATCCTTAAAGGCTTTTGCGAGGCCTCGGGTGCACGTGTAAACGTGGGTAAGTCTTCAGCTATGTTTGCAGGCCAGTGGGCACACAGAACAGTAGTGCCAGGTGGTTATAACTTTTGTGCAGAAGGGTTGAAGATCCTAGGAATTAGATTTTTCAGAAAGAATAGCGCTCAGGAGAACTGGGAGGCTAGGATCAAAGCAGTGCAAGCAAGGGTGGCTAGGTGGAAATTAAGGGGGCTATCAATGTGGGGTAGGCTGGAAGTGGTGAGGGCAGACCTTCTTCCAAGTTTGAATTATTTGGCATATGTTTTTCCGGTACCTTCTTGGTATGGTAGGAAGTTGGAGAAGCTGGTTTTTTCTTTCCTTTGGAAGAATGGTACTGAAATGGTGTCGAGGACACAGATGTACTGCCATGTGAAGGATGGAGGGAGGGGAGTTCCTTGTATCCCCTTAAAAATGGATGCGATTTTCTTTTCTTCTTCTGCCCGATTAGCAACTCAGGAGGCAGTGCACAAAGCAAGGCTTTTGGCCCAGTTTTGGTTGGCTTTTCCATTGAGATCTATTAGTTCATGGAGGGGAACAATGCCATGGTCAGCAAATAGGCCGGCTTACTATCAGAGGGTGGCAGATTTCGTAGTGGGGAAATCATGGTGTTTGGAGCAATGTTTGATCCTTCAGCATAGGCAGCTGTACAGTAGATTGAGGGACGAACCTAGTGGTGAGGGCAGAGAAAGTTGTGCCGCCATATAGAGTGGGTTGGGCCATTAGGTGGAAATTAAGGGGGCTATCAATGTGGGGTAGGCTGGAAGTGGTGAGGGCAGACCTTCTTCCAAGTTTGAATTATTTGGCATATGTTTTTCCGGTACCTTCTTGGTATGGTAGGAAGTTGGAGAAGCTGGTTTTTTCTTTCCTTTGGAAGAATGGTACTGAAATGGTGTCGAGGACACAGATGTACTGCCATGTGAAGAAGGGAGGGAGGGGAGTTCCTTGTATCCCCTTAAAAATGGATGCGATTTTCTTTTCTTCTTCTGCCCGATTAGCAACTCAGGAGGCAGTGCACAAAGCAAGGCTTTTGGCCCAGTTTTGGTTGGCTTTTCCATTGAGATCTATTAGTTCATGGAGGGGAACAATGCCATGGTCAGCAAATAGGCCGGCTTACTATCAGAGGGTGGCAGATTTCGTAGTGGGGAAATCATGGTGTTTGGAGCAATGTTTGATCCTTCAGCATAGGCAGCTGTACAGTAGATTGAGGGACGAACCTAGTGGTGAGGGCAGAGAAAGTTGTGCCGCCATATAGAGTGGGTTGGGCCATGTTGCAGCCTACTTATTTGGCAGGGTTTTGTAAAGATTTAAACTGGTTGGCAGCGCTGGGTCGGTTGCCTGTGAGAGAGCGGCTATACAGGCATGGCTCAGGGAAGTCACCAAAGTGCCCAGTTGGCTGTGGCCAGGAGGAAACAGTAGAGCATACCTTTTGGTCCTGTCCAGGGGCAGTTACATTCTGGAAGTTAGTGACTACATGGTGGGAGAGGTGGGGAGGCCCGAAAATCACAAAGAACCTAGTACTGTATGGGGAAGGGCTGGAAGGATTTGTAAAGGAAGGTAGAAGAGTAATTTGGGTGGTGGTTTCAGAAGGGAAACATGTACTGTGGGAATGGAGAACAAATTGTTTAAGAAGGCAAATGCCTGGTTTGGCATCAAAAACTCTGTTTTTGCTACTGTTGAGTAAAATAGCAGCTGAGGTAAGAGCCTTTAAGTGCTGTTTTGGGGAAGGGAAAACAAAGAAAGTATGGGGGGGGGTTGCCGAGAGTTGGAGTGGGGTAAGGGAAAGTTTTTATTTTTTTTATTTTTATTTTTTTATGGAAGTTATGGAACTGTGTGCTTTGTTTTCATATGTTGTCATTGTTTAACCATAAGAGTTATTTGGTACAGTTCATTAAAATAGTTTGTTACTGTGGTATTTCATGCAGATGGATAGTTTTCATTGAAAGTGTTGTTTTGTCTATGGATGTTCAGTGTACATTGAAGATAAATAAAAAGGAAATCTGTTAAAAAAAATAAAAAAAATAAAAAAAAAATCTGTTCTTATCAGTTTAATATCTGATACGTCCCCTATCCGGGGACTTCATATTAAATGGATTTTTGAATAACGGAGCTGGAGCCGGGGCTTGCTCCGTCCACTCCACGCATCGGCCTGGTGTTGCAGTGTCTCCAGAAGCGGTGTGCTTTAGTTGCTTGTTGTGATAAATAGCAGAACAACCAATGAGGATCCTCTTTCGGCTCTCATGGCGGGATTTTCTCGCAGATGCAGTAGCTGCCGTTTATTGAGATCTCTTCTCTCATGCTCTTCTTCCATTTGGCTCGAGCCAAGGATTCTGATGACATCAGGCACGTGGCTCTGCGACAAACCATTTGGGGGTTATGAGCGATGCCGTACTTTCCGTCGCTGCAGAGCCACCTTCAGGCCGATCAGCGCGAGGCTCGGTGACGTTGCAGACGGGGGTGGGTACTACCATCCCCAAGCGTTTCAGGTGTTTTCATGTATGTTCGGTTGTCCTTTTTCATTTCCTTTATCTTTCTTCTTCCCCTTACAGCGCCACCAAGTGGCCAGTCACAGCGCCCTCTTTCAAATGACCACAAACTGAGCCCGTGCATAGGTGTTCCGATTTGGGTGAAGTGATCTGATTCCTTTCTGGAGTTATAGCCATTTGAGAAACCTCTGCCTCACGACCTTCGAACGTTTTGAGGTCCCCTCGCCAAGGTGAATGAAAATGTCCACTATTTATGGAAGATTATTGACCGTTAGACTCCAAAGAATCTTTCTGTGCTGCTTTGGGTCGGACTGGGCCAAATACCTGGTGGTAGTTTGCAAAAGCAGGTTTTCGTCAAAACCCAAAATAGCCGAAAATTTTTTGCGAACGACGAGCAAATCCGAGACATGCCTCTCGTTTGGCTCGAGCCAAGGATTCTGATGACATAAGGCACGTGGCTCTGCGACAAACCATTTGGGGGTTATGAGCGATGCCGTACTTTCCGTCGCTGCAGAGCCACCTTCAGGCCGATCAGCGCGAGGCTCGGTGACGTTGCAGACGGGGGTGGGTACTACCATCCCCCAGCGTTTCAGGTCTCCGTGACTTACCGCCGCCTAAATGGGCGTGGCCGTTTCCGGCTTCCTCCCCTCTGCGTCATAACGGCATCGCTTCTCGGCCTTTTGGCTAAGATCAAGTGTCTGGTCACGTGGTTGAGTTGCGATCGCCTCTTGAAGGTTTCTTGGCTCGGGATTCACAGTATCTCAAGCCGCACAACTCTCAGGAGGAAAATTTGCTGTTGTTGCATTTACGAACGGACTGTTTTAAGGTAAGGTGATCTTATTTATTTATTTATTTATTGCTGCATTTTCTGTGATTTTAAGCCCTTTTTAGGCTGTGGGTGCCTCCACCATGTCGGCTGCTCGTGCCGGCGTGCGGAGGCACCACAGCGTGCGTTTTTTATTTAGAGAAGTTGAGGGGAAGCTTCTGGGGATGTCGCGACTTGATTTCTCCCGGAAGCTGATCCAAAAAACTTTAAATTTTAAACCAGTTGACTTGAATTGTATCGTGACTCTGCCCCTGAACAAAGGATTTGACGTGAGCTTTAGAGCTGCTTCCCATTTGAATGATTTCTGGCAAAGGTTTGAGATGTTCAAAGCCCAGTTCTCCATGTTTACTGTGGGAAAACTGACTGACAACACATTTAAAACTGTGATTGTCAGGATGTTTAATGAAACAGTAACTGGAGAAGATATTTGTGTATGGCTGGGGAGATTTTGCACTGTTCGAGGCCAGCCAGTCAAAGTGCTAGATGTGGATGGTATTTGGACATGCTCCTGGCGAATTCCCATTAAACAATGGGAAGATGCCGGGGGCTACCAGGGCCTGAGACATCTACCTTCAATGATTGTGTTGGGAGAAAACAGAGGCTACATTCACTACCAGGGGATGCCTAAACTTTGTAGGAAGTGTGGCGTGTTTGGACATCTAGCTGAAGCATGCCAGGAAATTGTATGTGGGAAATGCAAAGAAATTGGTCACAGTTTTGAAGAGTGCACCAATGGCAGGCGGTGTAATCTTTGTGGGGAATTCAACCATCTCTACAGAGATTGCCCAAAAAGCTTTGCCAACACGCTAAAAGGCAACAATATGGCCGCCCCACAACCACAGCAAACAGAGGAACAAAGGGAGGAAGAGGCGGTCCTGGAGGTTTTGGCGGGAAATTTAAAAACCCAGCCAACCTCAAGGATTGGGCAGGAGGAAGAAAGTGGGGCGGCTACAGGGGCGGAGTCTGTTTTTGAAAAGGAACAGGGGGAGGAATCCACTCCACTGCAAGGAAAGGGAGAGAATGAAATGGAAAATGAAACATGTTCCTCCCTCAATACCGTCTCGGAGGTGAGTGTGCCATCTAGTGGGAGCGAAATGGACTGCTCGCTTCCAAATGCTCAAGTGCAGAAAAGACCTGCGGGATCTCCATTGTTTGAAGTGGAGAAAAAGCTGAGGGTAAAACATCATCCAGATAGTTCTTCTTTGGAAGATCTGGATCATATGTGGCCCTCAGAATCCCCAAATGAAGTGTCGTTTTTGCACATAAAGCTAAGAACATCATCGCCAAAGGAGCTGCAAGAGGTTTCCTCTGTGGCTCCTGCGGTGTCGAGCACTTGTTCCCCTGACCTCAGTTCTACTATGGGAAATGAAAAGCAAGTGCAACAAGAAGTAACATGATTTTAACTTTACCTTTGTAGTCTTTTAATGTTTGCTTCTTTTAAATGTCACATGTCTTTTTAACCACACTGCTCATGGCCCTTACTATCTCTACCATCAATGTAAGAAGTGTGAGGTCCACCATTAGAGCACAGAGCATTTTGTCTCTTTTAAAAACTTTTAAGTCAGATTTGTTTTTATTGCAAGAGTGTTCTCTGCCCTTTTTAACCAGGTACAAGAAGATGGAGGAGCTGTGGTCCCCTGGACCCTCCATATGGAGCGGTTCAAATTTTAACAAGAATGACGGAGTTGATGAAAATTTGCTGTTGTTGCATTTACGAACAGACTGTTTTAAGGTAAGGTGATCTTATTTATTTATTGCTGCATTTTTTGTGATTTTAAGCCCTTTTTAGGATGTGGGTGCCTCCACCATGTCGGCTGCTTGTGCGACTTGATTTCTCCCGGAAGCTGATCCAAAAAACTTTAAATTTTAAACCAGTTGACTTGAATTGTATCGTGACTCTGCCCCTGAACAAAGGATTTGACGTGAGCTTTAGAGCTGCTTCCCATTTGAATGATTTCTGGCAAAGGTTTGAGATGTTCAAAGCCCAGTTCTCTATGTTTACTGTGGGAAAACTGACTGACAACACATTTAAAACTGTGATTGTCAGGATGTTTAATGAAACAGTAACTGGAGAAGATATTTGTGTATGGCTGGGGAGATTTTGCACTGTTCGAGGCCAGCCAGTCAAAGTGCTAGATGTGGATGGTATTTGGACATGCTCCTGGCGAATTCCCATTAAACAATGGGAAGATGCCGGGGGCTACCAGGGCCTGAGACATCTACCTTCAATGATTGTGTTGGGAGAAAACAGAGGCTACATTCACTACCAGGGGATGCCTAAACTTTGTAGGAAGTGTGGCGTGTTTGGACATCTAGCTGAAGCATGCCAGGAAATTGTATGTGGGAAATGCAAAGAAATTGGTCACAGTTTTGAAGAGTGCACCAATGGCAGGCGGTGTAATCTTTGTGGGGAATTCAACCATCTCTACAGAGATTGCCCAAAAAGCTTTGCCAACACGCTAAAAGGCAACAATATGGCCGCCCCACAACCACAGCAAACAGAGGAACAAAGGGAGGAAGAGGCGGTCCTGGAGGTTTTGGCGGGAAATTTAAAAACCCAGCCAACCTCAAGGATTGGGCAGGAGGAAGAAAGTGGGGCGGCTACAGGGGCGGAGTCTGTTTTTGAAAAGGAACAGGGGGAGGAATCCACTCCACTGCAAGGAAAGGGAGAGAATGAAATGGAAAATGAAACATGTTCCTCCCTCAATACCGTCTCGGAGGTGAGTGTGCCATCTAGTGGGAGCGAAATGGACTGCTCACTTCCAAATGCTCAAGTGCAGAAAAGACCTGCGGGATCTCCATTGTTTGAAGTGGAGAAAAAGCTGAGGGTAAAACATCATCCAGATAGTTCTTCTTTGGAAGATCTGGATCATATGTGGCCCTCAGAATCCCCAAATGAAGTGTCGTTTTTGCACATAAAGCTAAGAACATCATCGCCAAAGGAGCTGCAAGAGGTTTCCTCTGTGGCTTCTGCGGTGTCGAGCACTTGTTCCCCTGACCTCAGTTCTACTATGGGAAATGAAAAGCAAGTGCAACAAGAAGTAACATGATTTTAACTTTACCTTTGTAGTCTTTTAATGTTTGCTTCTTTTAAATGTCACATGTCTTTTTAACCACACTGCTCATGGCCCTTACTATCTCTACCATCAATGTAAGAAGTGTGAGGTCCACCATTAGAGCACAGAGCATTTTGTCTCTTTTAAAAACTTTTAAGTCAGATTTGTTTTTATTGCAAGAGTGTTCTCTGCCCTTTTTAACCAGGTACAAGAAGATGGAGGAGCTGTGGTCCCCTGGACCCTCCATATGGAGCGGTTCAAATTTTAACAAGAATGACGGAGTTGCGGTTTTAATAAATAATCCAAGCATTTTGGTGAAGGGCAGCACTGTGGTGAGGGAAGGGCGGGCACTTTTAGTAAATCTGACTTTTTTAGACAGAGATTTTAATGTTCTTAATGTTTATGGTTTTACGGAAAAGAATGAAAGATATGAGCTTTTAGAAGATTTTCAACCCCACATGTTAGGTAGAACCCCACTAATAGTGGCAGGGGATTTTAACTGTGTTTTATCTAAAAAAGATAGGAAGAGGATAGGAGAAGATTTTAAAGTGGACAAAACATCGGTTTTATTGCAGGGTTTAGTCAGCGATTTTAATCTAGTTGACTGTTTTAAAATATTGCATCAAAGAGAGGAGGGCTTCACCTGGTTCAGTGGTGATGGTACCAAAGCCTCTCGAATTGACTACGTTTTTACAAGGGACTGCCCGCCAACTGATGCTACATTAACCCCCCTCTTTTTCTCTGATCACATGATGCTGTCTTGCACCCTTTCACTGCCCACTGGTGTGACGGTAG